CCCTTTACGATACCTGTGTGATAAGGGAACGTAAATAAAGGTAAAATCTGCCTTAATCTGCCCTCGATTCTCATCTCCCAAGATCGGATCGAGACATCCCTAGTTTTGATTACCACATGTCATAAAATAAAAAATGTCAAATCTGCTTCAGTTACCAAATGTAAAACTCTCATTTTCCTTAATTCCCCATGCAGATAATTAACTTGTTCCACTGTTTTATTTCACACATTTCTAATGGGGCTTTGGCACTCATTTAGTAGCTTCAACATTATGAGAATATGCGCACACATGCTCAGCCAATCACTCTGAGCCTATTTAATCTTTTGGAGGCTCAGTCCTATAAAAAGACGGCAGCAACAGGACTCCTCTTTGCATCTTGGATTGCCAGCAGACATTGCACAGACTATTCAGTCTGCAGCATTAGATTACCCCCGTTTGAAGACACACAGCTAAGCGGTGTGAGGAAAGGGGTGTTGTGATCGAGTGATTTGCTCATTTGCTTCAGTTCCCACATTTCTACAACGTCTGCACTTTCATGAGGAGTTTGGAGAAAGGTTTTCTTGTTTTTAGCCACCCTCACTGAAAATGTGCTCTGCTTGGTGTTTAGGAAGAAAACATCCAGTGATGTATTCCTCTGCTCCTCAGTGGGAGTTACTTTTTCATTCTTCAGGCCCTGAGAAGACTTGTGAAGCAAATTTTTTATTTTTTTTGAATTGTTGTCACTAAGTCTGCCCTGCTGACTCACAGGAGTGAGCCACTTGTGAACCTTTCAATCTCCTCTGGATATATTCTAATAAAAAGAGATGTGAATCACATCCCTTTCAGGCAAAATCTACACTTCTCCTTCAAAACTTTGAGAATTTGTTCAGGGAAATGTTTCTTTGCAAATATGTATTCAGACAGGTTTGTTGGAGAATAAGTAATGGCTCCAAGAGGGTTGCTTAACGGAAACAATTGAAGGCGTTGACAGCGTGAGCTGAATTTGTTACACAGAGTTTACAGAGGTCAGGAATGAATCAGCCTGATGTCTTCTGTCTTCACCCACATGAGGAGAAAGGCAAGATGTTGTTTGTGTCTTCCTCACATTGTACACTGGCATGTGTTGTATGAAATTCGAGGTCACATTTTTGATGGCACATGGAGCGCCTGTTGAGGTCACGGACACTTCCATAGGTGTTTGTGTTGACTCTGAGCATGTTTGTACAGCTTTGGAGGCTTTGATCAAGCATTCCTGCCGACGGGACTACTGACTGGGGTCCCCAAGAATAAACTAATATAAGAAAGTATACTATAAGAAACCATCAGATCAAAATGTTAATGACGAGGATGAGAGGGAGTATAGAAAATAGATGGATGGATAGATGGATGGATGGATGGTTAGGTGGCACACTAGATATTTTCTGTGATACATTTTGTAGATTTTAACCCAAGTGCAATCCATATCAGTACTTAAAAGCTTATGTTTTAATCTGGAATGATTTTGTTTTTTTAGTTGTTGTGTTTTTGTTTTGTTTTTTTTTAGCAATTCCTTGTAAGGATTCTTTGTCTTGTGTTTATATGTCTCAAAATTTCAGCAAATCTGAAACAATCTTGATCTGCTTGCCATTGTCGCCTGGCAGAACAACACTGATGTTATCCAAAACTATATTGTAGAGATATATTCTAGATTTATTACAGCCAAACACATCTCGGAGCTCTGACAATACAAAGCAAAAACAAATCTTTCCCTGCCCCTCCCTCTGCAGCCTCAAAAACAGTCACATTTGTGCTTTTCACCACACTCACACCATGTTCTGATCATTCACTGAGTGCAGCATGTCAGTCATACGCAGGACACACTATTTTTGTCTTATCATTTATAAGAGAACATTTGAGTCATAAAGCACTTCATCATAAAATTATTTCTGACTTTGACCATCGTCTTATTTTAGGAAGAGCAGTATTTAGGCTAGCTGACAGAGCACACAAGGAAATATGTGTTTGTCTCTCTGTGTGTTATTGTATATGACATCATTGGATTATTAATAGTGAAGCATCAGTGTGTCAGCAGCATGTTGCTGTTGTAGCAGATGCAGGTGGAATTTTATAGTTTTATATACAGGGACAGCAGATAAATACGAGAGGTCATCAGATGATTAATGCAAGAAGAAAGTCTGTTTTTCCTCACAAATCTGTTTTTAGTTTCTGGACTTTTTCTCTCATCTTTGATTTTTGCTGAGACGTTGGATCATTTGAACAATTACTGAAATGAAACCATGTGAGAAGTTTAGAGGGGGAAAAAAAATCACTATTTGGTGGAGCTGCGAAGACATCTGATTCTTTTATCCGACAACACACTGCTGTTTGTAAGATGTCAGAAGCCAATAAAGTTGGAAACCACTGGTTCTCTAACAACATGTTGTATTTTTAAAAACATATTATCCATTGTGTCAAATCTTCATCTGAAGAGTAACTAAACCTGTTGGAAAAATAGTGGTATAAGTACAATATTCCCCTCTGACATGAAGTACCTTAAAACTGTACGTACAGTACTTGTATAAATGCAGTTCGTTACTTTCCACTGTATAGTGCAGCCAAGTATCCAAATCAACCTGAACGTGGTCACAGAGCTGTTTCTCTTGGATTTTAATGAGGTTTTAATGCAAAATGCAATTCCTGCACCTGCTGGAGGAAAAAAATCCATGTGCTTGGTCATCATTAGCATCATCCTTGTATTGCTTTCAGAAAGAATTGAGAAAGAAATACCATAAGAGACCAATTAGGCGATGATAACATTGAAATCCAATATGATGCGAACATGTTTTGTCAATGACAGTTGTGGACTTTTTTTTGTCGCCAGCATTCAACATAATTCCCTGGCAACGGTGGTAGCCACCTGTACTATTATGCTGAAAAATTTACACAAAACAAACCCACACATTGGCAAAACGCTTGTGAAGACAGAGCAGCAGGGTTAGAGGGATGGAGAACAATCAAACTCTGGTTTGGACTCTCTTGCTGTGATCAGGCATGAATGAGCCAGAAGCTCCCAGACTTTCCCGGTCGAATATGTCCACGTGTAATGCTCATTCCAAGCTACTTAGGACTTTATGGATGACGGCATTGCTAGCACCTCATTTACTGCAGAGCTATATGAGTTAAATAGGGTCACTCTGATTGGCTGAGCATCTGCATACATATACTCACCGTGCCTAATGAGGAAGCGTGCGCAGAGCTCGACGCGCAGCTTCGACTTGAGACTGCTTGTGTTTTAAATGTTAAATCTATAGGTCAGTACAATTAAATCACATAAGTGCTTGTTTTCAGACAGTAATATCACTGAGGACAACTGGTAATGTGGCTTGTCTTAGATCCCTCTTTCTTTCTTACAGATGATGTGGCTGCTTAATAGGAGAGATGAGATTCCCTGTTCTCTATCTGCTTAACATTTCTCGCCTCTCTCTCTCTCTCTCTTTTCCCCCTCAGCTTGGCAGGAAGAAAAAAAAAAAAAAAGCGTAATAAAACGATGGAGCATCAGCATTCTCTAGAGGCCAACGGAGGGCATAACATATTCTTTGTAGAAAGGCATTCATCTTTCTCTCCGTCTGATCTTCCTCCTGCCTGTGTCCTCTCACAACGCGAGATAATATTATATTTACTGCAGAATTCAGCCTTCTGCAGAATGTGCTATTTTTAGTGGGGTTCAATCTCGGAATTTTAAAAAGGACCGAGTGGTATTATGTAAAAAAAAGAAAAAAAAAAGAGAAAGGAATCCAGATGAAAGAACCTGCTCAGTGGGTTCTAAGGAAGTAACAAGTATTGTGATCTAACATTACTTTGGCACACCCTAACTGAACTTAGTAATTATCATTTTCCTTTGTCTGATTCTCTCTGTTGTTCACATAGTAACAGCTTGGTACAGAGAAAACCCAACAACTATATGACATTACTCTGTTTTAGTTTTCATCTTATAAAAAAAAAAAACATTTACGTGTGTTAATTAAGAGCATGTGTACCTTTTGTTCGGATGTTTACTTCCTCTTACTGTGTTTGTTACAGTGCCGTCAAGCCAAACGAGTGGGTGTGTCAGCACTTGGAAACTACATTTTTTTTTAAATCTGAGAAATCTCTCCCTTCCATGGAATGCACCAGTCTGTGTGCCATGAAGACACATCAATAACAGGATTTCCTGCGGGAATTAGCCGCCATGTAATCAGTCATTTTGATCATGTTATTTGTGTAAGTGCATAAAGAAATGTCATTCAGCACCAAAACTTTGCTGAATTTAAATATGATGCCATAGGGGATCATGGGTGTGATTTTGTTTTTACTTTATGTGAATTTATATCAGCACGCCCATAAGTTTCACTCGAAAAAAAAAAAAACTACTTTCATTTACTGAAATTTCCCCAGTGTTTTCCTTCACTTTCTATTTCAAACTGCCGTTTAGATGTTTCCCTGACTTTCATTTCGAGTGGGCCAAGAAGGGGCAGCCTGAAGTTCACATCTTTTTCTTTTTGTGCATGTCCAATCATCGCTTCGCACAGTAGCGGGGAAGTAAATGCAAGCTGATGAAGCTGTAGCTAAGTGGGATCAAAAGGTTAAACGCCCGAAACCAGCACAGACCAGCGTTCACACCGCCTCACGGATTAGACTTTGCATCTTAATGTGCTGATTTGCATCAGTTTCATGCCACATACAACACCATACAGATCTGTGTGTTTGTCCACCTGCCTGTTGCTTTCCTCTAAATGTCTTAGGTCTAACTATCGTTTTTTCATCTGATCATTTCCCATTCCACGCCTGTCTACATGTCGCGCTGTTTCTCTTTCCTTTCTCTGACGTTACTTCTTTGTCACTTCTCTGTCGTTGTTAAAAAATACCTTGAGGCAAGTCTGCTCTTGCCCAAAAAGCACAGATTAGAATTACCAGTAGGTGAGAGCATGCAACTGTCTGTAAACGATGCTCCACCCATTCCTTCCCATTCCTTAAGTCTTCCAGCAGGTTCACACCTCAAAGCCAGCCCCCTCAAAGTCTCCAGGTGAGACCAAGTCAGTTTGCATCGACGCGAGAGCAGCTGACAGGCACTCAAGAAAACTCTCCTGCGTAGAGCTTCTAGGGTAAGGTGTTTTATATTTGTCCGTATTTATTAGAATTGTTGGATCAAGAAAACAGATGTAATGTAGATTAATTTCTGTCCTTTGGTTTAATATCAGATGAATACGAGGAAGGATCCAAGAGGACAAAAGCTAGTGTGAGGAAAAAGGGGCACTAAAAGGGCAAGAATATTGTTCATTCTGTTCCTTTTCTATCATATAACAAGGGAAGATCATGTCAAGGGAAGAGCTCAGCCCCGGCGCGTACAAAAGAATGAGATTTGTAAAGACAGATAACTGGAAGCGGTGCGAATAAAACTATACACGGATTGCTTCTGCTTTACTCCTCCGGCTGATTCATGTTACCTTGAGAAATAGAAGAAAGTCAGGTTGAAGGTAAAAAAAAAAGAAAAAGAGAAAAAAAAAAGGCGAGATGTGTGAATGACAGGGGAAAAAAAAAAAACTAAGAAAAGCAGAGCTGAGAAGAAGGAAAAAAAAAGAAGCCACACAAGAGAACCTCAGCCCCACCTTGTTAGCCAGGAGCTTTGACTCATACAGACAACGTATTCTTGGTGGATGGAAAAGTATTTGCAACTAGCTCAACCTGTAGAGCGAGTCACAGTCAAGGATTTATCGCTGTGTCAGAGGAACTGTAAAGGGATGTTTTCTCACTCAGGATTATGTTGGTTTTTATGCCTAATACCTCACCTGTTGTGTGTGACGCTGAGACTGTTTATGGTTGTTGATTTAGCCCACACTCTTAATAAAGCCGGGGGCAAGCACTAGAGCTTTATTTGCATGGCTGTGAATTAGAATATTCCTATCAAATGCATCACACAACCTGAGAGAGCGCGATATGTCTCCTCTGCGACAACAAAAGAGAAAGACAAACCCGCGGCGACGAGATAGACGAGGCCGGCTGCCGTCGGGGAAGGGAGGGCAACGCTGCAATCTAGAGCAAAATGGGAAAACAAATTGTGGTCCGGCGTCGCCAGACAAGATATACTGTTGTCTCTGAGGTTTCCTCTCCTATCTGGGCTGAATGTCACCTCAAAGTTTGTGCAAAATTAGGAGAGGAATCGCATCCTCTAAACATTTGTTGAGAAAGCAATGAATTACACTGTACATTCATGTGAGGGGGAAATGTGTTTATCAAGCCTCTGTATCACTTTTTTAAAAATGACAGGCCTGAAGCTTCGCAGTAAGAATCGTCCTCACTGCCTGTTCTATAAGTAAAAACTGCAGAACATCTGAGTCCCAGAGGCACAGGCTGAGTGATGCACGCTGCAAGATTAATGCCACTGGTTGTGTTATCCATTTAGAAGGAGAGGTAAAGTGCAGGTAACATCAGCGGTGATTGAACGTGTCTGGCTTTCGATAGCCCATGTTGTGATTCTGAAAGCATCCATTGAGTCAAGTCTTTTTATGCTGTGTAATTTAATAGTCAGGAATGCTGGATGAGAGAGAAAATAGCAACTGATTTGACAGCTCAATATATCTACAGTGATGCCGAAATGCTGAAGGAAAAGTGTTTCTGAATTCAAATTCTCAGGATTAGACGAGACAGAACTGAAATGGAACAGTGGACAGCGAGGCTGTTATCCAACTTGTTCTGTCAGGCCGTGAGCATTCATCAGAATGAGATGTAAATGTAAAAGAGAAGCTTTTTTTTTTTCCCCCGTCTTCTTTCTGTTGCTGAAAAGAAATCCTTGCAAAAGAAAAACCCCTAACCCTTATGCAGCACAGCAGACCCTCCTTGTGTCCACACTTACACAACAAACTCAAATATGCATTTGAAGGCTTTGAAAATTTCAAAACTGCAAAGGTGATTTAACAGTCTGCACACGATCAGATCATTAAATCCACACGGTGATATCTCAACTGAAGTTCCCTTCCAGATCACAGGTCCCGTGACACTGTCATGCCTCGCATTCGCAAATGAAATGTTATCCCTTAACAGTCCTTTGAAGAAAACCCCGACTACAATTGGCATTTGGGATTAAACAAACGACTGCCTGCTCCGCCACACTGTTCAAACAGCTGACTAATAGAGTCGAGGGTATTGGTTTGTCTTTTCAGCAAAGGGAGGCTCTGATGATGACTTACTCACTGATGTATAATGAGTCTGTATTGAAAAGGTAGCTCTGTGTAAACGCCGAACACCTATTACAGGGAACACATTTGTGAACATGACGCCGGTTGTTCTGATTTCATACAGCCGGAAAATCATTTCAGAACTGTTCCTTTGTTGGTTGTTTATCCAACTTCTTAGAGTTGGGGAATGCCTAAAGAGAAAGGCTGCAAAAGCTTCACTGATACTGTTGTAGTGTTACCGATAGAAACTGGGGCTGTTACCGTATCAGATTTTCATTACATGATTATTGTGGCCAGTAGAATTCATGATAGCAACATTATTGCGATATCTATTAAAATATCTATTATTGTTTTGTCTCCATTTTGGCAAATGAATTAAGATAGAGGTGGAGAGAGTCTGTAACCATAACTGTGTTGTTAAACATAACTATGTTGTGTATGGACAATCAACCAGACAGATACCTGCAATGCATTACCTATGATATTATTCTGAATGTATTTTAACATTATAGAAATATTTCACTACTTATTTGTCATGGTTATTGTCAGCACTGGTCCAGCATGTCATGACACCCCTATAATAAATGCAAAACAACTGTAAATGTAGCATTTAACAATGTTATGTGAATGTTTTCTTCTGTAATTTATGTACCGACAACTATATGGAATACAAAACATATTTACGTAAATCCAGTAAATGAACAGTTTTGATGAGGTAGTCTGTAAGTACAGGTAATGTTTAAAGGAGCACTCTGCCTATTTCACACTCTTTCGGTTCACTTGTCATGCTGAGTACGATCCCTTCTGTGAAAGCAACAGCACAACATCTCCTGGGGATTTAGAGGGGCTTCGTTGAGTCTGAGAAAATGACTGATATTTGCAGGGTTGTGTCTGTTTAGAATCAGAGACTACAGATTTATAACAGAGTGCTTGAGTTATATGCGAATTGTTTGGAGTCTGAAAGATGTGGGTGTTTACCAGCCAAGGAGGGTGTAACAAAGGACTCTGTTGAGTTTAATTGTTGTAATGTATGACTAAAAGCAACATCAGTTCTTCTATTTGCAGTATCTATCTCAAGTCTGTCAACCATCTTGAAAAATTCGACATATAAGAGGAAAAAAAGGTAGTTTTTAGCTTTCAAGTGCTTCTACGACTATCCTCTAATCTACTTTGTTACTTCTTCATTCCTCAGGGTCAGATCATCAAGAACCCCCTCCCACCCGATCTCTTGAGGAGCTCCTATATCTCCCTCGGTCTCCTCCACCTCTGAGGCAGCCGTCATGAACTGGTCTGCACTTGAGGCGCTCCTCAGCGGGGTCAACAAGTACTCCACCGTCTTCGGTCGGGTCTGGCTCTCCATGGTGTTCGTCTTCCGGGTGATGGTGTTCGTGGTGGCGGCGCAGCGGGTGTGGGGCGATGAGAGCAAAGACTTTGTCTGCAACACGGCCCAGCCGGGCTGCAACAACGTGTGCTACGACAGCATCTTCCCCATCTCCCACATCCGCCTGTGGGCCCTGCAGCTCATCTTCGTCACCTGCCCATCGCTGATGGTGGTCGGCCACGTCAAGTACAGGGAGAAGAAGGACATGCAGTACACCGCCTCCCACAAGGGCGCCCATCTGTATGCCAACCCTGGGAAGAAACGCGGGGGGCTGTGGTGGACTTACCTGGTAAGAATGAAGGGAGCCACACTAATAAACACAGATCCAAACTGAAGTCAGAGTTTCTGATATATTTGGAGTTTCACCACCCTTCCAAAGCAGATTGAAGCTAACTTGCAGTGATGTTTTTTTTAATAAATAGCCTGCATTAGATCAACTCATCTGACTTTGGAAATGCATCACTCCTTAAGTTATCAATCCCAGATCAGCAGTTAAAGAGAAATTTGTATTTTTCCCAGTTTAACCCTCATTTATCTTCTCATAGGTGAGCCTGATTTTCAAGGCAGGCTTCGATGCCGGCTTCCTCTACATCCTGTACCACATCTACGATGGTTACGACATGCCCCGCTTGTCCAAGTGCTCCCTGCCGCCGTGCCCCAACACGGTGGACTGCTACATATCCCGTCCCACAGAGAAAAGGATCTTCACCCTCTTCATGGTGGTCTCCTCTGCCTTCTGCATCTTAATGTGTATCTGCGAGATGATTTACCTCGTCTGCAAACGCGTTCAGAAGCTCATTAAGAGGAAGGCCGAAGCAGACAGGAGGATGTTCGCAGAGAACCACGAGATGACGCCGCTGGCAAGGCCGAGGTCAGAGTTCAGGTCCAAAGCATCAATCAGAGTAGATCCCACAGCGTCCATCCAGAACCTCGCCAACAGCAAGACAGAGGAAGGACCACCTCCCAAGAAGTAATGATGTACAACGTAGTGGTGGCTATGATGAAAAACTAAGTATTCAAGGTGCCACTGCAAGTGAACGCACGCATCAGACTCCACAGAGAACTGCCGCTCAGCACCACAGATACCCATCACTTCAGGGATTTCTGAAACAGCGATTTGTAAATATTATCAGGCTAAATGAGATTCTGCAGGACCGCACACCTTATACATACAGCATGAGGATTACAGACGAAGTTAAAGGTTATCATGTGTTTCTTTTGGAAAAGGTGTGTTATGTGTGTACGAGTGTGTCTCTGTTTGTGTTTTTGTGTCTGTATCAGTGTCCAGTAGTAAGCTTCAGATGGTAAAATCAGGTAATTTGTAAATAAAACGTTAAACCCCAAGTGATGTAAATACATCACAGAGAGTGAAGCCTTTTACCTGAACATACACACTGCCCCCTAATGAATAAAACAAGATAAAACAGAGCACTTTCTTTAGTTGTTGACACAGAAATCAGCAGAAATCACCTGAAGGGATTTTGTTGTTAGATATGGAAAATGAAGAAAATGCTCTTTATTGTTCAGGACTCACTTTGATGCCTTTTGATGTTGTGCTTTCACACTATTAAATCAGAGTTCCTTAATGAAGGTAAGACATGTGTGAACTAATTCATGGCACTGAAAAAACGCACAAAAATATTCTTTTTTTTTTTTTCTTTTTTTTTACTTACACAGAATAAGATTGTAGATAATATATTTTTGTTTTACATTTTGTATTTATTGTTGTGGCTTATAAAGATTTGCTTCATGATATTTTATTGTCCGTCTTTTTCTTTTTTTTATCATACAGCAAAGGGCTTATGTTTTCTAAGCAGAGGTGTTGTTAGGATCTCAAAACATTGGCGGTTTAGCTTTGCCCACAAATGTTTAGATCTTTAACCCGATAGCTGCACCATCATCAATTTAATTCAGAGTAAAATGAATATAAAAAGGGAGACAAAATATAAAAAGAGAGGTCATCCCACTTTTTTCCATGCTCAGCATATGTTCTGCATTACTCTCACAGTGAGTGCATGACAGATCAGTGCTTCTCAAACCGTGTGCCTTGGAATTAGTCTCGTTTATGATAATTCAGAGCGATAATTATATGTAAAGATGCGCCTTTCAACAAAAACATTTGCAAACCACTGAGCTAAAGCAGCAGCTTTTAGCTACCAGCTGGAGTGAGATTGTATATCTTACAGGTTATTAAAGCCCATTTAAATGGTTTATAATACACTTTGTGTAATAGCAATTCGAGTGACCTTTAAAATAGTCCAGGAGAAGAGATGCAGTTCACCCATAAAGTCCCAAAACACAATACACAGAAATAAATAACTAGGCAATAATAATCAGACCAAAACTGCTGCACCAGATAAAACACTGAACAATGTTTTGGATCAACAAACTGACTTCACTGAAGCTATATAAAATACGATTTGAGTTCTTTCCTTAAAAGTAAGGATTATTGATGGCCTCCTCACTGGTAGCTGACAGCATCATATTGAAAGTCTCTCCTTAAAGCTTTCCTTTATGTGAAAGCGTTTTTGTAGTTTTCTTTCTGGTTTTATCTACTTTTGTTTTTTATTAGTTCTGGTTTTATTTTTATTTTTTTGTTGATTTAGACTTTGAGACTGTCACTGAAATAAGTTGAATTTGACAAAAGTAATAATTAATTAAAAAAATTAAATAAAAATCATGACATTGCTTTTGAATTGTGGTTTAACAGAAATATCAGTAAAGTGCAATAATTTGTCCCAGGCCGTTTGTTTTTAAATATATTTTTTTCAATTATTCTTTTCAACCACAATTCAAAATCAATATCTTATTTCACTAAATAACAATTTAGCAAATTTTTATTTATTGTTGCTTTTTTCAGTTTCTAGTTATTTGAGTGACTATTGTGGGTTTTTCGTTTTCTTTAATGGAAGGGTATGACTACATTTGAGGAGGACTGTATGAGATCTGACAGTTGTCCAAGTCAGAAAAACAAACAAACAAGCAAACACTTTTCAGATCCAGGTTTATCCATTAAACGCTTTGGGCCAACGCCTCGGACGCCACTGCCTAACAACGCCACAGTCTGTGAGTAAACCCTGCATTTGTTTCAGGATTACACACAATTAGTGACTCATTCACCAAGTATTGGGGTTAGACTGTCGAAACTCCACTTCCTCGCTTGTTCAGTCGTCATCATTTTTCCACCCCGCTTATCCAATCAGGAGCAGAGGAGCCGGGCGCGGTTTTGATTGACAGCGGAATGCACCAATGAGCGAGCGGTGCCGTACTCTTCCTCTTCGGATGCCTTGTTGAAGGAAGCAAAGTCTGTTAAACATGAGTTTCCACTACGGACAGGTATCTAAATACTGCATTTACTGGTTTTGTCTGTGTTATTAATAACAAGGTTTCAACGTAGTTTATTAAGTGTATTATGTGGATATAACGTAGCTAATGGTTTATGTCATGGGAGCTCAAGTATCGTTAGCTAATTGTGCGTTTTGCTATGGTTAGCATTGGTACAATGTAAACTGTTGCTATTTAATGATGCTGTTTCAGTATTTAATAGGTTTATATCAAGAGTCGCCAGCACTGCTGTAGTTGTTGCTCTATAGTATGTAAGTGTTGTGGGTTTAAGTGACAGCAGTCTTGGTTTATTCAATCTGGAGGTAACTGCAGTTTCTTGAGCAAAACATGATCCGAGCATAGATAGCATCTTTCAGTGGAGGAACAAGTAGGCTAACCCGAGAAGTGTAGTCACAGCTCACTGTGAGGAAAATCCACTTCTACTCAGACACTGCCACTATTTCAGTAGTGCAGACGTTTTTTTCGACAAGAACCGAGGTTTTGAATTGTTGTCAATGAGCAGAACGGATTTAGTTTAGTTTGTAGGGCCGCTGTAACATATAGCTCTTATTCATTCATTTATATTGAGCTTAGCCATTTGATTAGTTTGATGAGTCCTTTTTTTGTGTGTGATAAAGATACAAACGTCAAATTAGAGCAAAAACCTGAATCTTTAATCCCTACAGTGAGGTGATGTGTTTGTGGGCAAAGTTTGGGGTCCACTTGTCCAATTAAGGAGGATGAATTGTCACTGCAAATTATTACCAGAGCATCATGTGTTATTTCCTTCTACCACCATCATCAAAACACCAAATGAGGAGATATATTGTAAGAATAAACCCTCCAGTAAAGTTACACAGATTTGGGGCCCAGGTGCACCGTACTTGGACACTTAATGTTGAGTTTTCCCTTAATTCTATATATTAAAAAAAAAAGTTGCAAGAACAAGAAACTATTGATTGAATAACTATAATACAGGTACTGAATGCACATTAGTTTTATAGCCTGAACAGGGATACATATTTATCATATATCCTCAGTGTTCCTATTTCAACAGTGCAGTATGTTTATTTATGGTTGTTATCATGCTCATTCCTAACTGTATATACTTTCCTACTGGCTTCTTTTGTAAATATATTTATATAGTCTTATTTATACTTGTATTTTGCACCACTGGAGTTGTCTTTTCATTTCGTTGTACTTTGTGTATGATGACGATAAAAACATTCTATTCTATTCTATAAAATACAAGACGATTGTTTTTCAAACTGATCAACGAACTAATGATTTTGATTGTACAGCTTTGTATCGTGAGTAGCTTCATGTTAACTTGATTATATAGTTCAGAAAAGTGTGTTGTAGCTTAAAGTTCAATGATTTGTTAGTAAAGTATTTATTTGCAGGGTAGTTGTCACTGTCATAAGTGTAGAATCACATTTCCCTCTGAAATTAAACACAAGTGGAGTAGAAATTAGTTGAAAATAGAAATATGCAAGTAAAGTGCCTCTAACTCAAGATTTAGGTACACAGTGATGTTTGTTCCTGTTCCTCACTGGGTACTTCTTTACCTTTAGCCTACCTAGAGCAGCTTGTGTATCTGTGGCACTCTAGTACTTCTAATTGTTAATGATCATACGCTGAGAGCATTTATTACTTCTATTTATCACACAGTTCCAGTGAACCTTGTTCTTGTCTTTCACTTTAGGGCTATCCAGGAGGAGGCAACGTACCACGAGGTGCTCCATACGGTGGAGCCGGGGCACCCTATGGTGCTCCCCCCTCAGCTCCTTACGGAGCTCCTGCAGGTCCTGCAGGAGGTCACTATGGCGGTTATGGAGCCCCAGGTCAAGGGGGTCATTATGGGCATGGACCAGGTGGTGCCCCCGGTGGGCCCTATGGAGGTTACGGGGGACAACCTCATGGAGGACCTGGTGGATATCATGCTCCTGCAGGTAATGATGGGCTGAGAGTGGAGCTGTATCAGCATCTGCAGTACCTTTGCCTGTGGGACTTAAGCAGGCATATTCTGAACACGAGCAGACTGCAGATAGTCTCTCATTCCCCTTCTTCATTGCTTCTCTCTCCTTTTCTTCTTCCTTTTGCTCTCTGGTGGGATGATGGATAGAAAATGACTTACGTTCCCAGACAGTCATGTAGAGACAGGGTTCAGTTTGTGCCCCTCAGCAGGATTACACGGCTGGAGTGATGACTCCGGTAATACTGAGTGAGGGCTAAACAGAGTGCGAGACAGATGGGCAAAGAGTGTATTTTGTGTGTGTGTGTGTGTGTGTGTGTGTGTGATTACACAGTTTCCAGTAGTAGCTAAGTCTAAGTCAGAACCTGATAGCCAATGCTACCATCACTCCCCGCCGGGACAGAATCCATCAGGGTCTGGCCTGAAGTGTCACCTGCCCCTCTCTCCCCATTCATTTTTCTGACAATCAGACCTCCCTCTACTCCTCCCTTCTTCACACACCATATTCTCCAACACTCCCTTTCTTTTGCACCATGTATTCAGGTAATGGCCCCTTGCCCTGACACTGTCTACCTCATGCTGAGATGACTTTTCCTCAACCCCTGACCCTCCCTCTACCTTTTTTTTTCACACCTTGTGCTTTTGTGAGGAATGAGAATGTATACCTAAGGTTGGACAGGTATTTTTTTTTCAGCAACAACCTGCTGGTTTCGTAACTGTAGGTAGATTTGTTTTCTCTTTTTTTGTGTTTCCGTACTAGAAAATTAACATTTCTTTAATTTAAATGCAGTTTTAGTGGGATTATTAGACATTATCTGCATTCATCATAAACCATTATTTCAAAGTGAATAAGACATTTTTGTTGGCATGCCTCTTGTTTTCATCCAACAAGTACTAGTGTTTAAATCAACATGCCATTAGCTGTAGGAATTATATGTCAGTTGCATATATTCTGTGGTACAGTCATTATATGCTGTGCTGTTTTCAAAATCGGTGCCTTCTAAACACTAAAGGCATGAGGCTGAGTCAAGCACAGATGTATTATTTTTATGATTAAGCTTCTTCTTGACAGACCCAGCACAGTTTCGACTGTCAGACGGCCGACGCGCGTTTCTTCATCTCTCTGTAAATAAATAATTAATTGGCATCGTAACGCAGCAGCCGCTTCATTTCCAAGAATTTTCACTGTCTTTTCCTTCTGTCTTTTATTATTTCTTTTTTTTCTCCCCATCCACGTTCGTTATTCCTCAAAGCCTTCACTGAAATAATAACTGGTGGAAAATGTAGGGATGGGAAATAATAAAGAGAATAAGTTGGCTCAGATAGATTGAAGAAAGGAGGGGGGGAAACGGCAACGGGTGCGCTGAGAAAACAATCTTCTGGTGATGGGCTTCTTCAAAGTCACTCTCAACGTTTCTCCTTTTCTCTTCCATGTGATTATCACGATTCTGTTTTTTTTTTCTCTGTGCAGCTAGCATCCCTCCTGGCGTTAATCCAGAGGCGTACCAGTGGTTCCAGAGCGTTGACACGGACCACAGTGGCTTCATCAACCTGAAGGAGTTGAAGCAGGCGCTTGTCAACTCGAACTGGTCTGCGTTTAATGACGAGACCTGCCTCATGATGATCAGTAAGTCGTGCAGCTGCAGCTAAATGAAATGTTCGAACAGGGTGCGAGGCAGCTGTGTGGTTATGAATTGGTGTTTTATGAGGCAGACTGACACAATGTTTAATTATGTGATGTACTTTCGCTGACCTAAATGGCTGCAGCACAGGGGAGGGGGAAGTTATTTAGAAAACACAAATGGAAAAAGGAGTTGTGGGAAAAAATGAAAGTAGGCTGGGTTTATACGTGAATACCCCCCTTTAGCCTTCCAACATTCTAAACAGAAATCTCGTGTTTCTAAAAGGAGAAATCTAGGCTGCCAGGAGTCATCTAAAAAAAACAGCTGAACATGTTTGTCTGGGTGCCTGTTCGTTGGGCGCCTATCCCTGCATTCCTGTTGCGTTTGCCAGGGAGTGACTAATGTTTACTGTTACCATAATGACGAGTGTGTGGCTTCTTTGGGCTACTTTTAGATAAAAACGAGTAGAAGATGCATGATGACACGAGGGGGGCTTGATGGAACATGTTAAAAACGCACTTCCCATTTCTGCTCTGTTTTAACTCGACAAAACTCTCCTGAGTCTTGTTTTGCTCAGCGTGCTGTGTTTTGTGTTTCTGGTTAGACATGTTTGACAAGACGCGGTCGGGTCGAATCGACCTGTTTGGTTTCTCTGCGTTGTGGGACTTCATGCAGCGGTGGAGAGCGTTGTTCCAGCAATATGACAGAGATCGCTCAGGAACTATCAGCGGCGCAGAGCTACACCAAGGTATCCCTGTTTACATGCGTGTTAAAGATGCTAACAGTTAGCTGCAAAATAAATGAATGATAATCACAGTGTCAGCAAAATCACTTCCTCCCATCCCCTCTCTCCTCAGCCCTCGCTCAGATGGGTTACAATCTCAGCCCCCAGTTTTCTGAGACGCTGGTGCAGCGTTTCAGCTTCCGAGGCGGGCGACCCGGCATCCAGCTGGACCGCTTCATCCAGGTGTGCACGCAGCTCCAGAGCATGACGCAGGTGTTCAGGGAGAGAGACACGAACATGTCGGGCAACGTTCGCCTCAGCTACGAGGATTTTCTCGCTGGTGCCATCACCAGGCTCATGTGAGCCTCGTTCCACTGACACTCCCTCTGCACTGTGGATGCACAGTACCATTCCATGTTCAGGTTATAGTTTCTTCAGCCTTGAATGCTTCGCCTTAAGTGCCCCCACATGTTGCTATGTACACAATATACCAGCCAGTACAGATTGCTCCATAGCCTGTTGCTGTGAATAGATAAAACCTACACTATGCACCTCAGTGAAGTCCAGTGACTGCTTTGGAGGTTTTCACTGGATATCCTATCTTTTAACAGGACACAGAAAGTGGCTTCTTAGCATCATTATGTCCACTGGTCCTGTGTCCTTCTGTCTTTCTAAACAGTCTCATCTTTACCAAAGATGCCTTGGTGATCGTGACTGTTACCATGCTTCTTGTTCACTAGTACCAGTACTTGGTATCATGTTTAATCACCTGGATGTCGACTCCACTAACTACCTACCTGTCAGGCCTGAATCAGCGTAAAGACTTGAATACAGGAGATAATGTAGTAAGTGAATGAATGAGGTACAATTCTGTGTTAGTGACAATGCTGACCTGCAAGTTCCTACTCTGTGAATTTGCTCACATGCAGTAATAACATCGTCCCGTGCCATTAAAACCATCAAAACTCCTCTTACATTTATGTCCACGGAGGGGGATTCAGCATTTCCAGAAGCTATTTCCATGCAAAGGTTAAACATGGACACGTTTTATAACATGAGAATTATTCTACCCTCACAATTAGTGGAGTGTTAAAGTGATTTCAAGTCTACAAAAAAATAAATGTATTGTATTTTTCCGCTAAATTGCACTTCTAGAAAAAAAAAAAGATGTATGACCAAAAAAAATAAGAGAGATTAAATTGTGCCTCATTATGTTTTCATTCCAATTAAATGGGAACTTCAGTATTTCTGTGGCCAGTACATTAAGGGTCTGTAATTAATGGATAATGCACTCCACTGTGTCATATATTCTGAAACCATTAAACATGCCAGAATGGTTTGTAATGCCAAAAGCAAATAAATGTTTTCATATTCATTATGGACTTCATTAACAGTGTTGATATGCTTTTGTGACCTCGAGTAATATTAATCTGCATATAAAGGGGTAAGTATTGAGCGTATTCATCAATATCATAGTAAAACTTCTTGCACTTTACTGTCATTATGATAATTTTGAAAAATGGTTTCAATATTTTTTTTCCGGTCTAAGAATGGGAGACCAGTTGATGTTTGATCCGAGCAAGAAGTGCTTTGTTTTCTTTAACAGCATGAGCGGCTGGTTGAAATCCAAACTCATAGCCTTTAACCTGAAAATGCCCACAACCAGTATTTATTCCCTTTGCAGGGCAGACAAAAAGCGCAACAAAAAAAAATCCTCTATCATTGTTTTCCACATCTGGCACTTCTTTCCTCGCCATCTGTTCCTCTGCTTGATCACAGTCTGTGTCAAGAGTCCTCCTGCTTCATTCCAAATCAGAGGCAATCCATCAAAATCTCTTGTGCATCTTTTTTGGTCATATTCCACATCCATCTCCTCGTTAACCCCTCCTTCCTACATCCTAATTTGAGGCTAAACTCTGGTTGTCACAGATCCTTAAGCACACTTTGTGTCACACGTGTCGCATCGCTGCCGCCTCCCTGTTTGTTAACCTGCGTTATTTACCTTCTGGACCATTTTCAGAAATGTTGAGTTTGGGGACTCGGGAGTCATTGCCAAAAGAGCACCGTGCTTGAATGTTTCAGCCCCGTGGAGAGCCGTGCTGCAGGCTTTTTCTGGCTCGTGCAATTCAGCAGTGATTTAACCTAAGTCCTGAGTGTCATTTTTTTGTGTAATGAGGAAATTTCCCACCACTGACCATGCCTGACATCTGTAATTAACTTGGGCAAATAGAGCAGGTCTACGGGGCTCCAGTTAAGGGGCTGTGACACTCCACTCTGTCAGCCTCGCTTTGTGATTTAGATTGATAAGATGGTTCTATTTTTACATGATTTTTTTATTTTTTGGCTAGAGCAGCTCTAAATCATATTTCCTAATAAACAGCAACTGATGAAATAATCCTGGCAGTGCCAAGTTTTTTTTTTTGTTGTTTTTTTTTTTCTGGTAAAGCAGAACTGGCATTAGTAATGTTGTTTTCCTGCAGGGGATGAGCACATTTCACTTTATTTGACAGGACTGATCAAATGCCAGTTCTGGCAAATACAAGATGGACAGCACAGAGGGAGGAACAGCTTAAAAGAATCATTTTGAAGCATGAAGCATAATCACCCACACAGTTAATCACGACGTTTTCAAGCAGCATTTGAAGCAATGATAAGAAATTTGGATATAGCTCTGTGGGGTTTTTGGTTTTTTTCCTGCACAAATGACCATTGAGTCAGAGCTACTCATCCCTCCATGACAGGCTGCATTCCAATCGCTATAGATCAGCCTTGTGCCCGGCACTGGTATAGTTTTATGGAAAACTTTTCTCGGCCTGGGAGCTGAAATATCAGTGTCATCAATCACATCGAACTTTGCAAAGAACACTTACCGATTCGCTACCCAGGAAGTACAGTGGCAAAGAGAAATGCCCCCCTCCCCTCCCCTATCGTCATAGTTACATCGTTTCCTTTTGGGTGAAATTTACACAATTTCTCTGCATCCCTCATAAGCACTTAAACAAAAAAAGCAAAAGCCTCTTTTGACTATTTGCGTCTTCACACAGTACACCGAGCCTACTGGAATGTCTTTTATATGCCAAACAGTGCTTTTAAACTGAAAGAAAACTATCTTGGCACTTGAGGGGTTTGTCATCCAAAGATGGGAGGGGAGGGGGGTAGCTCACGCCTTGTCACTGTATGGCACAATACTGGTGACAGATCTGTCAGCCTTTCATGTGTATTCCTTGAGAGGAGGATTTGTGCAAGAATGCCACTGAATGTTTTAACGCAGAAAGATTTTTCTTTTTTTTTTGTTATGGCTCCCAGTCAGAGCCATGGAAGGGACAAACATCTCAAGTATGTTATGTAAGAAGACAGCACCCTTTGACTGAGTGGTTGGAAAACACGTGATTGATTGAGGTTATTGCATCAAGAGGTGTTTTTTTTTTGACAGTTTCATAGCTTGTTGGACAAATTTGAAAGCAATGTAATTCACCGCTAAACTCGTGTATTTCTGTTGTATTCATAAGTGCAGATTACATGAAATGAACGTAAATGCAACATCGCCTCCGGCACATCAGCCGCGGATACGTGCGATGTGTCCTGAATGCGCGGGAAGTTGTGCAGGAATCCCGGTGAAGGAGGAGTTCGTGAATTATTTGAAAAAATGAATGAATTAATCATGATGGGGAAAAGGTGCCGCATGCAGATTTAAAGAGACGCAAAAGAGGACAGTGGAGTAAATCATACCTGTGTGTGTGCGTTGACTCAGCAGGGATGGTGTTACATGAGCACGGCCCATCCACAGCAGTGTAAATATTTAAAGACGTTATAGGAAGGCCGAGAGCCTCACTGCATTATGTTCCACTATCTTTTGAACCGTCACCTGGTGCCTGAATTATGTGTTTTCTTTTACATGAAGACATTTTCAACATAAATTGATGCATAGAAACTCACTGAACATTACGACCCTTATTTACATTCAAATGTCAAATCTTATCGGTGATTTTACACTGCATGCATGCATGTGTGTTTAAACAGCCACTGTAGCTAATGCCAGTATTTTTATTAGGATGCTATACATGTAATAGTGGTATAGGTTGCCACTATCACCATCACTCGTGCTCCTCTCTCTGTGTCTATACAGACATTTCTCTGACACCACACTGATCCAATATGCAGCTACTGGTCCCACCAGTCTGTCCAGTGATTGTGTCCTCCTTTTTTTTGTGGTTTTTCTGTTTCTCTCTACTTCCTTTTTCTCGCTCCACTTTACCGTCACCCCAACCAGGCGTGGCAGATGTCTGCCCTAGCTGAACCCAGTTCTACTGGAAGTCTCTTCTTGTAAAGAAAAAAAAAGAAGGCAGTTCTTCCTCCTTCCTTCCTGCCAATATGCTGCTCAAATGGATTTCTTGGGTTTTCCATACATCATTTTGTCAGGTCTCAACTTTTTAGATATTGTAGGTTCTTAACATTTAAGTTAGCCCAGTTAATTTGTATTAACAGGGATAAACTTCATTCAAGTAAATGAACACAATAAATAACACTTTAAGACCTTGTTGATATTTGAATATATTAGGTAAATTATTGTTTATGTAACACCTTTTAAAAACAAAGTTTACAAAGACAGAAAAATTACAGAAAAAGAATAATCAGGGAAGACAATACTAGAACAGTAAGTCAGCCAGGCCAAACAGAAATGAAAAAAAGAGCAAAGAAGTAAAAATAGAATTAAATACTGTAAAAAATTAAATTAAATTAAAAGATACAGAATTTCACAATAAAAATTATTAGAACAACCACCAATTAGTACAAACAAATCATCAAGCACCAAACGGCCATAGCGCAGACAGTAACTGAGACAATTTGGACAAATTCATAACACCAAACTTATTTTTCTACTATAAAGCACTTTGCCTCAACTTTTAATGCTTACAAGTGTCATATAAATAACAGTAATATGGCTGGACTAATACTGGCCTGTCGATTTGTGTGTCTTAAGTCCTCTCGTTTGAACTTTGTCCCAAGTGTCGTTATATTGCCTTCTGGGCGTCCTGCTTGAACTTTGTCAACACCTTGTAAACTCTTGTTTGTAAAAGAGCAGTATAAATAAACTGCTCGCTGCTCATCGGCAAAGTGCTCTAATTTGTCTGGGACAGTTTTTATTTTATTTTTTTAAATAATTCTTTTCAACCACAATTCAAAAGCAATCTCTTATTTCACTAAATTATAATTTAGAATTTTTTTTTATTTATTATTACTTTTTAAGTTTCTAGTAATTTGTGAATTTTGCCTTTGCTTTAATGGAGGGTATGAATACATTTGAGGACGACTGTATTTTTATTTTTGCCATTGTGATATATAGAAGTATTGTTAATAAAATATTATACAATTTATGATTACCACTGCTAACACTAAAACTAGTAGATATCGTTGACTCCTTTTATCTTTTTTTCTGAATTAAAATAAAATAAAACAACAATCTAGATGTAGTTTTATTTATTATTATTATTTTCAGAGCAGTGTGCCGTTGTGGCCAGTAGGCGGCGCTGGAACACAGAGAACCCGGGTGGCGCAGCTTCCGACCTGGAAGCTTTCAGAGCGTCACACGGATGTTGAGTCACTGCGGCACCAACGTGCTAACGGTAAAGGTGAGTAAAGACCACTGGGAAATAAACTAACGTCATTATTTATACATCCGGCAAACAAAACACCACCTGGAAGGACCTTCTGTCAGTGGAGCTGCGGGTGAAGCTTCGTCTTTAAAGTGACACTTCTCGGTGTGTTCATGTTACTGAGGAACTGTAAGCTTCAGCCGGTCAACAACTATCATCTACACGTTACAAGCAGTTCATTTGAATGACTTTCACGCCGAATATTGTGTAATTTAACACCTGACGCACCGCCAGCTCTGTTTCTTTAGATATTGTATTTTTTTCTGTTTTTAAACGCAGTGTTTGATATGTTTAAAGCCTCGTTGGTATTCATTCTTCAGCCGCGTTCAGTGGATGTAGCGGCTACATGGCGAACTCCATAACAAATGTTCCCATTTCATTTAATTTGCTCGTGTACAAGGTAAAACTGAGGACGTCGTCGATAAAACAAAAACTCGTGAATGGTGGAGAACAGCTCTTTAATTCGGCTTGAGTGAAACGAGCAAACAAATACGTATTAGCCTGACATTTTAACATTTGTCCGCAGTTATCTAAATTAGCCGCAGAGCAGCGTTAGCTAGCAGTAAGTTGACGCTGACATGTTGACATGCGTTGAAAAAGGGGCAGAGTTTTGTTTAAGTTTATATTTGGTGAACAGTCACTAATTTTGAGAGAGAGAGAGGGAGAAAAAAAGCTTACTTCTCTTCTGCTGTAACTGGTAATTTTGCCATTTGTTTGCTATTTTTGCCACTGGTGGGAGCTAAGAGGGCAGAAGAAGGACAAGCAGGACACTGTTGGAGTTGAGCCCTTGTGCACATTTAAAAACTTAGTTTCCACTCGTGGTTTGACGAAGATTATATGTAGTTACCAAAAAAAACCCCTGTATCCTCAGTCTGCCTTTTCTTAGGATTTTAAGTAGTACACAGCACACCATGTGATTTTTATATAACACAAGTATTTTTTTTTATGCTGATAAAAGTGTCTTTGTTGAATTCAGTTCTGGCAGTGGTACATAGACAACTAGCTGATTTTAATTTGAAATTGCAAAGACTACAATTTAGGATAAAATGTAGTGGATCAGAGTGTAAGTTTTTGTGTCAGGGGTTTTACAAATACACTTTTGATGTTGTCTCACGTGATCAAGCTCCATCACGTTTTAAATCTGGTACACAGTGAATATTAAACTGAAACTCAACTGTAAAAAAATTAAATTGCAGAAAAATCACAATTAGATATTTTCCCCAAATTGTTTGGTTAAACTGTCAGAATCAGATTCAAACCACAAGAGGGGAGCTGCAGATAGGAATCACATTGAAGCTAATAAAATCAGAACTTGCGAGGTAAAGGAAAACTGCATGTTTTTTATGAGTGAGTTTTACTGGCCCTTTAAATGGCCCTTAACCATTTCCACAGACGATGTAGCTGCAATTATACTCGTATCCAGGTTTAAATAGATTCACCCTTTGTTCGGATTTTTCCCCACATGCAGCACCTGGCAGCCAAAAGCGGTGTGCAGTCATGTGGCCTGTCGTGTGGACGGCGTTGCGGACCTACGCTCCTTACGTCACCTTCCCGGTGGCGTTTGTGGTGGGAGCGGTGGGGTACCATCTGGAGTGGTTCATCAGAGGGACCCCCAAACCCCGGGAGGACGAGAAGGGCATCCTGGAACTCAGGGAGGAAAGAAAGCTGCAGGAACAAGTGGGCATGGACAGCACCCAGGTGCTCAGCCTGAAAGAGAAACTGGAGTTCACGCCGAAAGCAGCTCTGAACAGGAACCGACCTGAAAAGAGCTAAGACACGTTGGTGTGATAGACTTTTGTCCTGTCAGGAGAGAACACTGGGAACACGCGGCGTGAAGCAGAGGGGAAAAATCACTCGTTCTTTCAACTCACCTGAACCGTACTTGTTCACTTCTGACTACCAGAAGGCATCAGCTTGCCCGAGGCGAACACTGGACACTTTTTAGTAGCTGGAGTAAAACAACTTGTCTTCTGTTAGATCAAATAAACCTTACATGTGCTGTATGTGACCATTCAATTGATTGTTAGCTTATGTGATTGCAACTCAAGCTTGCCACTGTATTAGAACACCTTCATTATGGAACTATTGGGTGTTTAAAACTTTGAGGTTTGATGTTATTTTCCTCCGATTCAGATAAAGGAAGGACATTGTTGAACATTAAAGCCTGGTTGTGGCACTGTGACTTTTAATGTGACTTCTTTCATCAAGTCACTTTCATGTCATCCCATAAAAACGATTTTCATGCTACAAACCTCCCGCAAAGTGTTTCTTCCACAATATGTTCCGTGTTTAAGAAGGGGACCTCTGGTTGTGAACATAAAGCGGAAAAGAAACACGGCTCTTTGTAGTAGTTCTTTGTATCTCGCGTAACCTTGGATGGTATGTGACAAAATAAGCCAGCAGTGTGGGAGGTCCCTCAGGAAGTTTAAGCTGCTTTGTCATATTGTCTGAAGCATGTACATGTACAATACTTTCATTTTAGAAAGTCTGGATGGTTTGCACCGCTATGAGCTTTAACTGTGTGTTACTGAAGATTATGAGGATAAAGGAAACTTGTGTTTTTATGCTGATTGATGTTTTAAGTCATGTTGAAACCCTCTATTAAGAATTATCTGAAGGGACATTTATTGAAACAGAATAATAAAACTTTTGAGTTTCAGTTTTTTGTCGCTTGTGTTGCAGCAGCGTTGTCTCGCTTTCAGGTCTGAACAAATTTCTGATACAAGCCCGCTGCCAAGGACAGAAAGTCACATCAAAGTTGAAGGAAGGAAGCAATGACTCTGCTCATTGAGCTTCAAGAAGGAAATGATTTTGGAAGGAAACTGCAAACTCATTCACCTGTAGAGTTTGACCTTTTGAACAATTCTGTGAACTGAAGTTGATAAAGGAAAAGAACGGCGTGGGATTCTAGGAAATCATATACCAGCAATGAAAATGAGACATTTCTAAAATATCTGAAGTAGCTTTAAACGCAGAAAGAGATTTCAGCATAGGGAGTTCTGCAGCTGATATGTTTTGATGTTAAAATTCCCAAATATTTATGATATTTTCAATCCTGACTTGTCTTTAAGGCCTCAGAAGCTTTTAGAGGAATTCAGCTCACAGCATCTAAAAGTCTGGGTAGCCTCACAATAAATATTGGAAGTGTGAAAGTGCTGTGGGATGTAGTTTAAAATACTGACGCAAAAGCATCCATAAAATTACACAAATTTCCATTCATCCATTGCTTCAGTCCGTGCTAGCACGATACCAAACGCACCGACCTCTTGTAAGTGCTGCATTCACCTGAACACTGATTAGGTGCAATGATCTTTGGGTTCTGGGGTTTGTGTACATGTTACTTTGACATGTGTCTTGCACCCAAGCATTGTTACAGACCAAGCACACTACTTACACTATCACCATGATATTACGCCCTCAGGTGTTGACATGGCCCCAGACCACATCCCTAATCTGCAACTTCCAGAACCCAAAGGAGTCGCTGCCAACATCCCGATGACGCCACAGGACACCCCAAATGTTCCCATGTCCATGTCCCTGATTGGCCACACGGGTGCAACCAACACACACAGGCGCACTACAGGCAAGTGATTTTAATATTGTGGCAGGTATGGTGTCACTTTTCCCTTATGCTGCCTTTATTTCTAAATAAGGTTTTCAAGTCAGCCTGATGTACGATTATTAACCAATCAGTCCTTAAACTGCGTTCAAACAATCCGCTTAAGCCTGATAACAGATCGCTGTGATAAAACCATAACCAGCGATAAATGATGCAACATATACATAAACTACATTTATGCATTTAGATACAGAAAACTGTTAACTTTGACATTGACTGTATATCTTGTACGACAACACTGACAGATGCATAAACATTCCTTTTGAGACACGCGTCAGTGGAGCAGCTCCTTTAAAGGGCATTTTTCCACTGCCTTTATTTCAGTCTGCCAGTCATGGTACTGATTTATATACTAGTACAAAAAGAAACAATGATATACTTTCAGAGACTTTTTTTTTTCCTCCCTGTGCGATAATTTGAGTCGTGACTAAAAACTGTAGTGTTTAAATAATATACAAGATGCCTGTCAACACATGCAATTGCCTTTCCTTCTGTCTGCCTACAAATTCAGTCGGGGAAATCTTTATTAACCTCATTATTATTGCATGGTGTGGTGGGAAAACACAAACTTTCATCAGAGTTCATCACAGATTGAAGATAGAGAAGTTATAGGTCTCAGACTTTTGAGTTGTTGTTTTTTTTAAAGTAACATACTTCGAGAAAACCAGAATAATTATTTTGTTGACAACTTTACTCCAGTCCCAAGGCCTTTTCTTATAATGAAACAGAGAGATCCATCTCCTCTGCACTCCAGGAGCTCTCTCATTGGACGATAACCTTTCCACTGTGCCAGGATACGTTCTGCTACGTTACCCTGCAAGCTATACTGAAATGGGAAAGATTATGAGGCCCAGATTTACATTGGCACCAGAGTTTGTGAATACTGTGCTATCGGCAGCCATCGGCTTTTACTCCCCTCTTAAATTTGCTATCAGTGGAATGACCGGCTCCACTCCAGTTACCCCTGTTGTGCATGTTTAGAGTAGCAATTACTTCAAGCTGGTGGAAGTTTCCATTCGAAACTAGCGGGGATGGCGAGGTGGAAGCGAGGCTGCGGATAGATTCCACTGAGAGTTAACAAGGAGTGTGGTGTGTGAAAGGTGTGTGCGTCCCCGTGGGAACAATCAGAGGACCAGGTCGGCCGTCTAACAATGGCCCAGCTCCTCAAAACTGGACAGTAGTGTGGGAACCAAGCACCGAGACTCCTGGGAAAGGAGGGGGATGTCGGGAGGCGTTCCATTGTTCTTGCTGGATGATGGGGATAATGGGTACGGGTGATGGTGGCTGCTCTTTTTTGTTTTTAAGGAGGTCCAATCCAACATCCTGAGTGGACAGGCTGGAGACGGTGTTCCCTCTGCTGCAGGAACAATAGAGCTGTCTGCCTGCTGGAAGGGCACCACATCCCCCTATTAAACAACCACACACACACACACACACACACTTATACAATCAGGAATGCAGGTATTTCTGTGTATGTAATGTACACACTGACAGAGGCCAGAACATAAACATTTCAAGGATGAGTCTCATACCTGAATATGAAATTAGATGGAAAACATTTACAGGTATTTTCTTAAAGCTGTAAAGCTGCATCACATTTGTGGGAAGCCAGACAGGCCCATATCACACCCTTGATATCATCTTGAAAAGTTGGTACGACAAACATGTTGTGTGTGTACAAAACCAAGAAAAAAAACCAGGAGGCCGTTCATGTTTCTGGCCACCTGACAAATCTAAATCTGAACGTGCTTTCAGGCAGCAAGCAGTTGGTGCCATTGTGACTCTTGGCTCCAGTCCGATCCCACCAGCCTGTACAAGGAAGGCTGCTGCGCTCCGCTATCCACCTTCTATAGTCTCGTCAGGGAGCATAATGGAACAGGTTGTGATTCAAAATAGAGGAAATAGTTCAAATGTGACTCAGTTACTGTACATTTTGCTAAGTGGTGCCATCAGCATTGGAGCTTTTGTTTGTCCCAGACAGGATAATCAGGCTTTGGAGCTGAGTTGTCTTCGCTGTTCTGTTTATTCTGTGCTGATGGAAAGGCATATAAATCACACTATAGGGACATGTTGATGTTGGGGCAAGATTTTATTTTTATTTTTTTGTGCATTTTCATGCCCTTGTTTCCAGGGTAAGAGAAAAGGGGAATGGCATCCAGCAAATGGTCCCCAGGAGGCAAAACAGGTACTTCCTGCTCAAGGTGTTTGCACCCATGGAGGATGCACCCTGATGTGGGCAGCAAGTTAAACATGTTGAATCTTTATCAAATCTAAATGCAGCATCAGTGAGCTAGGTGTGTTCACAAGAGCTGCAGCTTGCCGTCATGTTTCCATTCCAAAGAACTGAGGAGGTACCTGCTCACTTGTCTGAAACCACCTTAGCAATGTCTCTCCTTTGTTAGCTCTGTTTTGGTCTCCACCTTCTGTCAAATCCTCTGTTTTTAGAGCTTTGTAAGGGACATGGAACCGTTTTAGTTCTTTTTTTTTTGCAATCTGATGCACCCACAGAATGGCTTGTTGTGGACTGAACGGTTTCACACTCAAGTCCAGTACGTGGTGGTTTTCGTCAGCTGTTTAGGAAGTTCTGCATACAACTTTATTTTCTGAGAAGAGCCTTCAAGCTTCTATGACTAGAGGAACATTACTTAATTTCTCAGAGGTTTCATACAGGCCCACAGTCCTGTTCGGATCCAAATCTTGTTCCCAGTGGAAACCAATATCTTAGGTTTTGAACCTACAGTTATATGTGTCTACCAGTAACCGACTTTGTTTGACTGTTGATGTGATGTGCTGTGCAGGTACTGTACAGTGGGTTTACAGAGCCCTTTGAATAAAAATGATTACACATTGATGACAGCTTCAAGCGTAAAATCAAAAACATGAGTTTAAAGGCACTGAAACTGTCCATACAGCTGAGGTACACCAAAGAGTCAGGTGGAATCAAGCCACCCCTTTCAAATACTGATTAATACGACCTCAAACATAAAAACCTGGAAGGTTGTGACCAAGAAAGACCTCACTTGCACCACGGTTATTGTACTACACAGCACGTCAACTTATCATTCAGCAACTGAAACGTTTAGCAGAAGTAACAAATGAACCTGGACTGAAGTTAAAAGAAACCCCCACCCTGCACGCACTCACGCAAATCTGAGTGAGCTGTAAGTGGTACCAGCCGTCTTAATTGACTCCAGCCACACAGCAGGCGCGGTGCCCATTTCCCCCATCCTCCACGGGCCTTTGATGGGGCGGCTGTGACATTAGGTCAACAAACAGGGGGGACAACAAACAATGCAACAATGCCCACCGCAGCGCCATTGTCAGGGTGAACAATCCCCAACAACCAGTCCCTGGAGACAAACAATACTGGACCAGGAAACAGATACAGGCCCACTTCCTGTCCAGGATTTAAATTTAGGAACTAGTCAAAGTATTTTTTTTTTTGTGTGGAGTTGTACCAATGTCCAGATAAAGGGCTGGGTGCACGAACGTGTCATTGTTATGGATACAGAGAAAGTCGTGTGTCGGTATTGTGTGCATGGACGGTAAGAAAAACAAAGGGAGTTGGCACATGTGCGCCTTTTCGACATGCAAACGCACCACAACATGAACACCGTGACACTTTGCTACGCGAGGAACATTATTTCTAATCGTGTCAGAATAGAGAGATGTTAGATAACTTAAGTGACCTCATCGACCCTGCAGCTGCTATTTTGAGCTGGTCACTTGGTTCTCTGTGTGGGATGTGAAAGTTTTGTGAAGGGAGGTCTTGTAGGCGTAACTTTTTTTGTGTGTTTGTGCATGTCAGTGCCTTTTCAGGGTGCTTCCTCGAGATACGCGGGGCTTTCGGCAGTACAGCTGGCAGGAAGTATGACAGCAGATCAGCCAGGCCAGGCACATAGTGTAGGTGAACCCTTTAAAGTCCCTCCAGAGGCTGGTGTCGTGCATGAAAGCTCTGAGAATCTTCCCTAAAGAAGAGTTGCCTCTGGGCTTGACAGTTGGCCTTTCATAAGACCTGCTGGAGCCTGGAGGGCACTTGA